GTTCCTTAACAGCAACCCAGACCTCTTGCACAAAGTGGAGCACAGCGAATGGCAAGGCGCAGAGCCAAATCCAGTATGGGACAGGCCTGTCCATGCCGTGACCATCACCTGCGAACTCTGCGATACCAGTGGTTTAGGGTTTAGGGTTTAGGGTGGATGTATGCGCTTGAAGTGCTCTATGCCAGGAACGGGACTGGGGTTGGCTTTGAGAATCCCCCTGAGTTAGGTTATTATATTATCCTCCCCGAAAGAAGCGCCTTGTAACCTTCCTGTAGCCTGTAAACCCTAAGCCCTAACCCAAAGAACGTGCCCAGGGATGTAACCAGGCACCGTGAACTGCGACAGCAGGCAGATTCTGCTGACCATACATTTACCACAATGATGGTTCTAGGTTCCTAGTATAACTATAATGATTATCATAGTGTAGGGTACCAGATATAAAACTCAAATTATCTTGGGAGTTATTTAGCCCCACAGTACTCAAACTGCACAAGTCCTTTGTTGAGGGGCCGTCAACTATGGCCCTGGGATTCTACGAGAAAGTCAGGGCAGACAAGGTGTGGTTTCGGGTTTAGGGCCTAGTTTGGGGTTGAGGGTTGAGAGTACATGTCTCTGAAGTGATCCTTTCTACCCTTGGGTTTGTACCTGCATGGATCCCTAGGCTACGGAATGCAGCCTTTTATGCAGGTATTTGGGACCCAAAACCCAAGCTTACAAAGCCTAAGGGTACAAACCTGGCTTTTGGTTCGCCGGGAATAAAGGAATGGAAAAAAACGTGGAAACTACTATAAAGGGTTATGTAGGGACTACTAGAAGGACCCATTCCTTCATTCCTAGCTAACAGAAGGGTGCAAACTTAAAGTCTCTGCTATTTCTCCAAGTCACAAGATGAGCCGAGATAAACTAAAACAAAGATCAGTGTAGGTCCAAGTACTGACGCCACCACCTGGGTTGCTGTTAAGGAACGCAATCTAAGCTATTATATTGGGGGAAACCCTAATAATATATAGCCAGTATGGTAACCCTAAACCCTAAACCCTATATACCCTACATATATCATATATATATATATATACCCAGTATGGCAACTAAAGTTAAATTAAGTTCCAAACAGAAACTCAGCCACTGTCTCGAAGAGGAGCTTGTAGGCTGGCCCTGCTATCTCCCGATACCTAGGCTTAGGTTGTAGGGTGCGAGGTTTAGGGTGTAGGGTCCTAGGTTGCAGGGTTTATAGGGTCTAGGGTTTAGGGTTTTAGGTGTAGGGTTTAGGGTTTCGGGTTTTAAGGTCTAGGGCGTAGGGTTTAAGGTTTGAGGGTTTAGGTTGTAGGGTTTAGGATTTGGGGGTTTAGGTTGTAGGGTTTAGGGTGCAGGGTTTAGGTTGTAGGGTTTAAGGTGTATGGTTTAAGGTGTATGGTTTAAGGTGTAGGGTCCTAGGTTGCAAGGTTAGGGTCTAGGGTTTAGGGTTTTAGGCTTTAGGGTCCAAGGTTTACAGGCCTTTGGTTGAAAACAATTATAGTGGGTTATCTAGCTTTAGGGTGTAGAGTTTTTAGGGTTTAGGGTTTTTGGCGGGAATGAAGGAATGGAAAAGAACATGGAAACTGCCATAATGTGTTATATAGGGACCGCTATAAGGATCCATTCCTTCATTCCCAGCTAGCCACAGGCCAGTTTAGGGTGCAGGGTGCGATCTTTTTGGTGGGCGTGAGAGTGACGAGGAGCATTTCGGCATGAGGTGCAAGAAAACTTCTCATCCAGGCAGTTGCAGGCACTCGACCCCTTTCAGAGTAGAATACTATAGCTGTCAGTTGTTCACGGGCATGACCCGCTTCAACAACAAGTTGGTTCGGTATGTGAGCGACGTTGAGAAGTCAGCATTCGTGTGCAGCGAAAGAAGTTAACAGGATCCCTGTGAGGAATCGCAAAACAGGGCCCCTGCCCCCCCACCTAAACTGGTCCTGGAACAACTAGAAGCCAAATGAGGCCACGCACAAGTAATTGGATAACATGTACGAAGCTCTGCATGCTTCCTGCACTGCTGCTAAATGAAGAAGACGGAGCACAGAAGCTTATGAACGGCTATCCCATTCTCAGACAAATATTTGACTGTGAAGGTCTTCTTTGAGACCCAGGTACCGGAGGGCACGATTGCGTTCGTTTGCCATGCGCTCCACTTCCTCTTCTTGAATAAGGTGTTCGTGGGTGGATAGGGGTTGAAGACTCAGGGTTTTTGAGCTTCAGGTTTAGGGCAACGAGGACTACTTGGTAAACCCAGCCCTAAAAGTCAGGATACTATGACAGGCAGCTAGGCATCTTGTTCACCTCTGCTGAATTTGATGGCTAAGGGCTTTGAGAACAAAATGAACAAGTTCTCTCCCAAAAACTTCTGCCCCAGTAGGGTACCAAGATAGAGGACCTGCAAATTATCTATCCCTAAGGGTCCAAGTACCTAATAATCATATACTTACCAAAAGCCTGTACTTTAATTACTATTACCCAATACCCAAGTACCTAGTTATCGGGTATTTGGACCCTCTGGGTATAATCACAGCAAATGCACCTGATGCTTTGAGTTCCCAAATGAGTCATGCTCATCCCCACAAGCCGCGTCCCCTGCTCATGCCGTTCATACCTATCCTTTAGGAGGACCCCCCCTGTAATAGTGGTATAAAAGGAATATAAAAGGACCCCAATATAATCACTATTATCCCTTGTAACTGTTACTGGGGGGGGGGTCCACCTAACCCATCCTCCAACCTGCACATTCCTAGCTGCTGCTAGGGCTAGGGTTTAGGGTGGGTAGCCTCAGGAGCCTGGGCAATATATGGAGCTTCTAGAGAGAGTATGGAACCTTACCGAATAAATACAGGTCAGCTTCGAAACTCCCAGCTACCGACCTTCCTATCCGCCTACCTCCCTGCTCCAAACGCTATCTGTGAATCAAAGGGGCTTTAGGCAGGTATACTAGAAAGCACTACGTGAGATCTAGAAGAGGACCTGCAAGCCCTTATAGCGAACATCATAGACACCTCTGAGTAACTTGTATTTTTGCCTTGACTTTTAACGGAAAAAGAAAACCCTAAACTCCAAACCCTAAAGCTAAACCCCTAAACCACAAACACCAAACCGTAAACCCTAAACCCCTAACCCCTAACCCTAGAGCAAACAACATTCAGGTGTCCCGATTGACGCAGCAATGAGGCGGTGGCCGCCCCGCAACTTCAGCAAACTGCAGCCATGTGGAGCTATCCGAGTCGCTCGAGGTGCTGGAGTAATTGCCTTAGAGTTTAGGGCTGTATAATGCTTATATAGGGTTTACATAGGGTTTATACAGAGTTCACATCGGGCTTAAGGGAGTTGGGGTTTGAGGGTTAAGGGATAACACGACTCTCCAACAATGGAGAAACATGTCGTAAAGAATACGGAAGATTAGATGGCAACTACTGTTCAGGATTTAGGGTTGGGACAGGGCGAATCAAATGGGAAAGAAAGTCGCAAACATCAAATGGAAGCTGGGTTTATGTGGGGATAAAGGGATTATGTTCTGTTCTGGGGCTCTAAAAAGTTGGCAATATCATGTTGACATTGAGGTACCCCATACCATGACTATAGGGCCCTACATTAGGCTCAAGGGCGCGGGGTTCGGTCCTACACCTTAGAGTTTAAGTTGTAGTGTCGGGGGTGGGAAGGGGGGCAGGCAGCCCGTTTGTAGGCCCTTGATAGTCCGCTACACTCATCCTGGAAAGTAAATCAGACTCACTCTGCCCTTGTAGACTGAGCATGAGGTGGGGGATTCCCAAAATTAGGGATACCTTTTTGGGGGGGGTCCCCATAACAAGGATCATAGTATTTTGGGGGATGATATTGGGGCCCACTATGTTGGGAAACTACCAGGTAACTTTACAGCTGTGGCTGCAAGGGCATCAGCAGGTGGCGGTTGTGGGAATCAAGCTAAGCTCTTTCGTTCTGTGCAGAGTGGTGTATAGGGGCACGCGACAAATTCAGGGTTATGCATTTTCGGTGACCAGCTGCTCCGCATCCGCGAACCCTCATCACTGTCAGCCACCCGGGCCACCCTGCTGCAAGACTTGACAGGACTCTCCACGTCAGCTATGAGCGCGGCATAGGCCATGCTTTGTGCATATGCCTGGCTACTTGCGCGCAGTGATCACGCGCAAGCGAACCTACAACGCTCATGAAGCAGAGGGATTTCACATTGTTTTGGGATGATGGGTCTCACAAGAGACAATGAAGCTGCACGTGTTGCATCTTCAGCTGGCAGGTCGTCAGTCCTATGATATACAATTCAGGTTGTGCATTTCTCGACACACGCATTCTACTTTGAACATAGGAGCTTTGTAAACAAATGCTGCGGTGTCCCTATTGTGTGGAAGCGCGTCTATTGCAAAGTTGTAGTCCAGTTCCTCCCCGCTCCCCATGGACCCATTGACCAAACCTGTTCTTGCCTGGAGGTTCACAGGCCTTGGTAACTACTTATAGCTGGGGCTATAACTCTACTAAAAACTGGGTCTATCAATATATGGTTAGTTGGGGGGATCGTATGCAAGCTTTGAGCCCTTTTGCAGGTATAGTATTCAACTAGTTGATACGTCCCATGAACCTTCGAAAACGCGGCACCGAAGTCGAAGAGTGAGATGATGTTACATGGGGGAGGCTGTCTATAAAAGGGCTACCCTTACCAAACTGAAGGTCTGAGGTTTGAGGGTGTACGGGAATCCCTTTATTATAAGAAGATTGTAAGAGTGGCCTGAACAACGGGAAGGATGAGAAAGAGATCTGGTTGAGAAACTTGCACATGAGGGGAAGGCTTGCATTAATGTTCTCATCCCCTCACCCTAATAATGAACCTCCTCAGCTCCACACATAACAAATTCTCAACCTAATACAGGATGTTCTTATGTGGGCTGTAGTTCTTCATCGTTATTGTGGGGGTGGGTAGGTTGATTGTTAGGCGGGGGGGATTAGGGATGCAAAAGAAGAAAAGATACGGCCAGATGCGATTTTGCTAAGCGCGGTTGCTCTCCTTTGCCCCCAAGCAATGCAATCCTGACAAAAAATAGGAACCCCGGAAAAAGGACCTCAATACTTGTGAAACACGCTAATACCATGGCAGCGCAGAGCTCTGAATGTCCAAGGGGCAGATGACGACTAACTCTCCATTGTCTTGACTACTGTAAGGTTTAGGGAGTATGGATTGGTGTTTAGGGACATTCTCCCTCAATGATGGAGAATCAAATGGAAACCGAGGCTATCTGGGGGATTTCCCTCCCCAAGTACCACCCCGTTTTCCCCAAGACCTCACTTGCCCTTGAGCCCCTGGCGCTGTGCCCTCTATCAGGTGGATCCCAAAGCGCAGCAGAAACAGTACCCTATAGAAGGAAAGCCTAAAAAAATACTCTTCCCCCAAGAAGGGCGTCTCCGTTTTGTCATCCCTCGGGATCTAACACGAAACGTTACATCCAAAATCCTGAGTATTGAATCCAGAACTCTAAATCTTGACCTAAGGTTCTCTGTCTGCCAAAACCCTCCTGGTGCGCTCAGTTGTGGTCATAGGGCCGCTAATGGTGGGTACTTCGGCCTGATAGAGGCTAGGTGGAGGTTCTAGGTACCAACCTGATGCCTGGACTCCCCCCTAAACCCTAAACCCTCAACCCTAAACCCTAAACCTTCCCAAAGCATTCTGCAGCGCACCAGATGGAGCTTGCGATGCATCTCATGCTCCTGAAAAGCCGGGGCGTTCTCAAAATAATGGGGTTTAGGGTTTAGGGCTTCTGTCGTTAGGGATGAGATATGGTAGTTTCCTTACATTAAGGTACCCGAATATAGGCCCTAATCTTACTAAACCTTATAATGAGGACCCCCCGAAAAGGTACTTTTTTTTGAGAAACCCCCATCTGATCTGAAAGGTATGTCATTAGGACTCCACTGTCCCAAAAAGAACCCACATGGGACTCCCTAAACCCTAAACCCTGGAAATCCTAAGACCTCGGTACTGCAACAAGTTTGTACCTCCCTCACCCTGCAGTCCTCAAGGGACCACGCAGGAGCCACGGCTATTGTAATTTCATTTGAAGCTGAAATCTACTCAAACAACCCTATCCAGCCCATCATAGAATTGACTGAGCAGAATTCATTTTGCAACAATAAAGCATATATGATTCCCTGAATTTGCAATTCCTCCAGTCTCCCTCGCTCCTCGACTCGGTTCAGAGGCAGCTCTTGCTTGGCCCGTCGCAAGCGGCTCTTGTCTGAAACCTCTGAATCTTCGAACCATTGCCCTATGCCTGCCAACAGCCTTGAAACAATCATGTAGCTGTTGGGTGAAAATCCTCTTACGCCTAAGCGGGAGTACAAACTACTTCAGAGGTTCATTTAAACAATCCGAATGCTCGCAAATAGGAAGGGTACCGCTCCAGGGGTTGGAGTCTAAAGCCCTCTCCATATGGAGTCTGCTATCGCGCAGAGACTGCAGGGTCTGATGCAGACTCTGAAGACATGGAAAAGCACGTGCCCTTGAATCGAGGTGGCTTAACCCCTAGAGTGCAAGGCCTAAGCCACTAGGCGCTGGGCATCTTATACGACTTTCAGGAATCTAAACCAAGCTAATTTGGGGGTCATTCCGAGTCATTCCCTGTAAAAAACGATTGGGGTTGAGGTCGGGCGAGGTCCCTGCAATTTGCTTAGCGGGCTTTTGGTCTAGTGTGCTTAGGGCCTAGGATCTTGGGTGAGGTTTTAAGCCCACATAGGTGAAACTCCTTCAATGATTCGGCTCAAGGACGACATGTTGGGCGTTCCATGGCGTTCCTATATGTCAGCACACCTGCAACTCCCTGTACCCACGCTTTTGCACAGTAGTCTCAAACTACCAAATACATGCATGACCATAAAGCCTGGGCTGCTGCCCAAAACACGGTTTAGGGATTAGGGCTAGGGACAAACATGGATCTAAACATTCCAGTCCTTGCATTTAGGGAGCTTGGACATCTGATACCGATAGTTATCAATCAACTCAGAGCTCCCGAAGCCCTGAACAAAGCCGGCTACGTTTTCTCTTCTGAGCCCAGCGCCCACTCCAGCTGCATGAAGACATTCCTCAGAGTTCCAGGACCCTCCTTGTACAATTTAGATAGGGGTATAGGGTTCCTACTTAGGGTAT